TGAGGGCTGACTTATTGGTGGACAAAGATATCGAACAATTAGTGGCGAAGACTATCAAAGAGTTCGGCAAAATTGATATTCTAGTCAATAACGCCGGTATCGGAACTACTGTTCAATTAAATGATCAAAAATACATCGAAACCTTTGACGAGATTTTTAAGACTAATGTTAGATGTATTCAAGTGTTGACAAAACTAGTGGTCCCTTATCTGGAGATAACTAAAGGCAATATCATTAACGTCTCGAGTTTTGAGGGACTCAGACCTGTAAGTCATTTAGTAATTGTTATAACAATTTATTANTAGATGTATTCAAGTGTTGACAAAACTAGTGGTCCCTTATCTGGAGATAACTAAAGGCAATATCATTAACGTCTCGAGTTTTGAGGGACTCAGACCTGTAAGTCATTTAGTAATTGTTATAACAATTTATTAAATCTCGTTAATAATTATCAGAATCCGGTGACAATGGTTTATTGTATGGCGAAAAGTGCCCTGGACATGTTCACTAAATGCCTGGCACTATCATTGGGTCCAAAAGGCATTCGTGTGAATAGTGTTAAGTAATTCATAATTACATTTATTTATTGTCTTTAAAATAAATTTCAATTTTGGTTTTAATATAAATTAAATGAACACAAATAGCAAACAAATATAATTAAATTTAATGATTACTACTAATACTGAAACTCTGACCCAATGAAAGCCCGGCCGCCATTCGGACCCCAATATTCCAAACGGTGACCGAAAACGACGAAATGCTTGATTGTGTGGAGAAGTATTGCAAAACCGCTTATCCCTTAAGACGTATCGGAAAACCGGAAGAAGTGGCAGAATTGGTCGCATTCCTGGCCTCAGACACCACCGCGTCGTTCATTACCGGAGCACTCATTCCGATAGACGGCGGGAGTCTTCGCGCAGATCTCTCGGCCATTGACTATATAAACCTTTAACACATTTACGTTAGTTTTAACTATACTTGAATTACAGCTTCAAAGTTACACATATTCTTATTTCGGGAATTTGAATGTTTTTTCTGTTGTTTAATTTCTGGAAAGATTGCGGATTATGTGTAAATTATGAGACAAAGTATTTACTCTAAATCTAAATGTCCAAAAATGGTAGGCTTTGCACATATGCTCCCATAGACAATACATTGGGAATTCAATCTTTTTTTTTAAATCTTTTAGACACTATGCTCTAAATCATTTGACCACATAGTAAAATTTTTAATAATTTAAATTTTTTGTACTTTTGTTTTAATATTTGGATTTATTTTTAAATGTTATTAAATTATAATAAATTTCAATTAAATTCTATAAAACACGGGAACGGGTACTACACATAATGATCGCAAACGCCTGTATACAGTTTGTAAAATAAGATTTTATTTGAAATTGTAACTTGTTCGTTGAATTTTCTATCCACAAGAATGATACCTCGCTGGAGCTTGAAAAAATTGTCTAATTCCTGAATTCTCCAGCACGTTTGGTAACATTATACTTAATGCTCAAATTACATTACATCGGTACAAATCGCTATGTTCGCTTAAATATACAAAAAATATGAAAGATAAAATCTAGACTTATATAAAAACACTAGACATTGAGTAATTCAGTCCGCGTGACTATAATTAAAATATGTATACAAAATGTTCTGCAATACATTGTCTGAAAAAAAATATTTAATCTATTATTATAATTAAACCACATGTTACAATATAACTAAAGTCTGGCTTGTTTTTGATGATTTTTCCAAATAAAATTGACCACATTTTTCTGCGTATATTTTATGAGCCAAATCAAACTTAAATATAAATGTACTGTACATTTATTTATATTCATTAGGGGTGAAGTGAAGCACACAATATCTCGGTTCGAATATTTATATTATTTATTCTGGTTTATATGTGCTTGTTCATTTATTAATTATTACATCATGTTAGATTTAGTTATATTTATCGCGATCATAGTTGTTTGGGTGATAATTGTGTTTTGGGCCACAATCAAACACATGTTTGCCCAACACTACTCCAAACAAAACCAAAGCGATAAAACATGGGATAAAATATTGAATTGTTTTTCTCCAATCAATAACTATTTTGAATCAATTAGTGTTAACAGCGGTTCGTTAAATAAAAATATAAATAAAACCAATGGTCAGCCTATCAATGAAAACAATGTGTTGGACGGGTTTCGATGTCTGTTCTGTGTCTATACTATTTACGCACATACTATGCATATGTTGTTATTTAAACTCAACGATTTCGA